AAAAGAATAACAACTTTTTTCATATAGAAATGAAATGGAAATACTACTAAAACCCGATATGAAATGCACACTTGGAAGACTAAGGACCTGAAATATCTAGAATATAAAAATTATTGAACCTTAAAGAATCCTTTATATTGTTTTTTCTCTCTAAAACCCTATTTTTAAAGGGAATGTCATTCAGAAGCTGTATTCATAAAATAGCAGAGTTGGAGTGTTCTTGCTGTGGGAGACTGAGCTTCCCTTGCTGTGCCTACTTACCCCATAAGGACCTTGAACTATTGGAACCATGAAGGTCCCTACTCCATGACATTGTATGTTGTATTTCTGCATAAGTGATTTAAAACAAGTTTAGAGCATAGTCCTAAAGAGACATTTGCATTTACTCTTCTTGCAAATTCTTCCCCTTCAACACCTAGCTACTCTGAGTTGCGGTATCTCTGAATTGTCTACACTGGAACCATTTTCTCACTTTTTGATGAGGAGGGCTGGGGAGCAGGGTTGGGGTTAGGGTTGTTTTCCTGTGGTCCAGGTTACTCTGAAACTTCCCCTGTTTCTCTCAGCCTGTGTCTCTGTGTGCTTAAGTTAAAACTGAAGTTGGTGCTTCTAGTTTCTACATAATTTACTATTTCACCAAATCACATGGCTAATGTGCATCCGTTTAGAGATGGCCCTGTCATGGTAGGTAGTTTATTCACTCTTCACTGAATGCCTGAAAATATAATATATGGGCAGTCCACAAAATTTCATGATATATTACTACTGTCCTTTTAAAATGCTATGTGATTGTTGAAACCATTGAAGTTTTCCTTCAAATTGAATTTAATAAGATTACATAAATGTCTGTACAGTGTGACAACCTCTAATAGTTGTTATGAAGGCCACCTCTTTTGGACATAAAAGAGTGATGTTCCTAACCTTTATACAGAATTAAGACTCTCATTTAGTAGGATGATGGTGATAAGATAGACTCTTGGTCTGTTCCTAGAAGTGTCTCTTTTATGTTAAACCACTCTTGTGAAAAATTAACACGCTATTAGCATGTATATTAAAGCACCCTCTGAGGATTCAGCAATCAAGAATGATGACTTAAGGCAATTTTCCAGAACATTCCTCCATTCCTGATTATGTATCTGTCTTTTAGTTGATGTTCTCAAAGTGTGGGTCCTGGGACCCTGAGTGTCCCCAAGACCCTTTGAATGGATCTACAAGGTCAAACTATTTTTATAGTAACTCTAAAGTGATATTGCCTTTTTCATTCACCTTCTTGCATGTGTGGGGCTTTCTAAAGAAGCTACTTAAAAAATTCTAAAGCAGTGTTATTCTTGGGAAATTTATTTTGCTTTGGAATATAGTTTTTTGGGGGTTTTTTTCCCCACTGTAAAGCTGTTTGTTTATATTAGTATGGGCTTGTTTATTTTTTGTAATTAATATTTTAGAGAATTATCAGTTTTCACTTTTGTGTGGTTCATATCAAACGATATAATCCATATGAACAAAAGGTTTTGACACAGGTATTGGAATACTGCTCTACATGTTCCTTATTCAGGGTCTTATGTAGGAATTTACTTTGTTGAGGCTTACTTGACTACTTACCTGGTGGCCTATGAAAGGTATGCTTTTTGTAACTTCAGACTTTATTTTAAAAGGCTTTTGTTCCACTCCACTGGAAGGTGGGAATCATTGTGTGTGGGCATGGACCTGGGAATTATGCCATGTAAGTGCAAAGTAGTCATAGAATCTAATACCAGGTAGGCTGGTATTAGATTCTGTGACTAATGTATCATTTAGCCAGTCACAGGTTGTTATTTTGTGATATTAACTTCACCACAACCGACAGGAACATGGACATGTTCACTATGTTTAGATTTCTTAATTTTTAAGTGCACTTAACTGTGTACTTATGCTTTTCTTATTTTTGTGTATATTTATTGCCCTCCTATTTCTATATCGATTGTTTTAGAAAGTTATATTGTCTTCCTATCATGAAAGGTCAGGATTTAGTGTTCCAATGCCTCTTGTCTTTCCACATTTCCCCTTCTCTACAATTTTTTCATTAGAAGATTAGTTGATTTACTGCATTATAAACATCAAGTAATGTAAATGCCACTTATGGATATGTCTTAATTCTAGCATTGCAAATCTCGAGTAACACTAATTTTTCCTAAAATACATATTTGCTACTACCTGAGTTGGCCTAGGTTTCTGTGTTTTAATATCTGATTCTTAACCAATTCTGCATTAAAACTCAAACTCTTGGGACTAGGGACTTGGCTCAGGGGTAGACTACTTGTGTAGCATGTTTTGCATATACAAGGACCAGGTTCAACCCCCAGCACAACTTATTTATCAAGGATTTCTCCTGAAATCTTTTGAACACTGTCAATATGTGAAACTATTTGAGTGATATTTCATCCCTCAGTCTGCCCTCTGCACAGGATCAGTTCCATGCAAAACACAGAGGAAATAAGTAAGTAAATAAATAAGTAAATAAAATAAAACTCAAACTCTTCTCAATGTTTACAAGCACCTAGGTATTTTTTTTTTTTTTTTTTGGATCCATCTTTGCTTCTTTTCATGGAGTCATTCTTCTGAGCTTTCCATCCTCTCGCTGAAGTCAGGTTGGGTGATTCTCTGAATTCCTGCGTAGAGACTTCTTTTTAAATACAACAACAACAAAGACAATAAAAGTGGATTCCTTTTTCTCCTCTTCTGTGTGGGATTCCTTTTTTCCTATAGTCATATCTTACTCTTTATTTGCTTTGGCAGAGTAAAAGAATGTATAGATGTGGGTGGTGCACATTTTGACACTGTAGTCATATTAAGCCCTCTACTTCATGTATGTGGTATCTATTTCTATTTATTGGTCTCTTTTCAGTGTTCTTAACAGTGTTCTGTAGTTTACAATATGGCAGTCTGGCAAGTGTTGGTAAGTGTATTTTCTAGGTATTTTGTTTTTCACAATATTATAAATTGATGCTCCTAAAATTTTATTTTCCAATTGATTGGTGCTATGATAGAAAAAATATAGTTTTTAAAAATAATTCTGTGACTTTACTAAATTCACATATCAGTTGTATAATTGTTTTAAAAATCACTTAAATATTTTATATAGGAAATTGTCATGTGTGCATAGAGCAGTTTTACCTCTTACATTTTGATATTCATGTCTTTTTTCTTGTCTTATCAGATGGGATAGAAATTCTGTGTATATTTTCAGAAGCAGAATACATATGCTTTTAGGCACTTGCTCATGTTTGTGATAACTCCATGTATTTTGATTAGCAGTAGATTATTCCTTCTCAGTGCTTTATACTATTCCCTTGTATGACTGTGCTAATTTATTTATCTACTCTGATGTCAATGGGTGTATGCATTCTCAGGTTAAGGCTGTTACAAGCAGTGTTTCTATGAGCATTCTAGTCTGTGGCTTTGAGTGAACATGTATTTGCATTTCTGCTGGGTTTGCATTCCAAAGTAGACTTGCTGTGTCATTCACCATGGGTGTATTCTCTTAAAATACTTACAAAATGTTTTATCATTACTATTCTTCTATTGCATTTTTAATGATTTCCTGGGAAAGAGGAGATGAATGCGTGAGTTTAATTTTCATATCAAATTAAACATTAGGCGTATGCATCCCTTCCAACTTCTGCTCCTTGTATTTGTCCTTTAAACTACTCATCAGGACTTGAGTCAGAACACACATGGACTCTACTTTGTTTGTAACCAGAAGGGGACTATGACTTTCATTTCTTTATTCTTTTCTTGTCTAGTTTATTGCCCTTTCTCACGGGGACAAGGAACCCACAGGTCTTGCCCCAGGATCCCAAACTTGTAACTCGGGAACATCTCCAGTTTCTTGTTTCCTTTGGTCAAGTTCCTACTGGAAGCTTGCTTGGCCTTAACACAACTAAGGCACATGCTCTTTTGGCAGTCGGAGGTGTTTCAAAAACCAAGGCAATTAGGACAGAAGAAATCCTTTCACCCCTCTGGGACTCCAGCAGCCTCCTCTGTGTTTTGCATGGAACTGATCCTGTGCAGAGGGCAGATTAAGGGATGAAATGTCACTCAAATAGTTTCACATATTGACAGTGTTCAAAGGATTTCAGGAGAAATCCTTGATAAAACTAAGATTTGGGGATTTCCAGAAGAAGCCGCCTCTATGTTAACCACTATTTAAGAAGAACCCCCCCTCCCCAGTTCAGGTATCTAAACTCAGAATTTCAATTATAAGGAATATAAAATGAACCCCACTGTTAAACTGAGAATATTAAAATTACTTGATTTTTAAGTCTACATTTTTCATGTTTCCTAGACCCTGAAGAATGATTTATTTAGGCTTTTAAGTAAGGAAATCTAAACCTTTATCCTAAAACTACTACATGACAGATAGGGCTTCAGGTTTTTTTACACAGCCTCTGTTACCCTCAGTTCACTCTTTTATAAAACGGGGCTAATGGAATGTAGGTTAGTTGTCAGGCTCATATGAGATCAGGTAAAATGCCCAACATAGAGAGTGTTACATAGCAAGCCTCTGTAACAGATGGTTTCCTATTATTATTTTAAGAACACTGTAAAGTTATGTTTTCTTTGCTTTTTAAAATGTGATATTGGTGTAGAATAACAAAACAAAGATGATTAAAAACATATAAGCAAAGTTGACACAGGAAGAACAATTGAAGAATTTCAGCCTTGGGAAATGTATGTATAAAGGATATATGCTAATTAACTTAAAGCAGAGCTTTTATTCAGTATTCAACCTTAATATGGTTATTACAAATCTAAGGCAAAAAAAAAAATCTCTCTCTCATAACACTGAATGAAAGTAAAGCACTAATGGCCAATTGCTTTAAATATTTATAGAAAGTATCATGGAGGATGTAAGGGACAGGAAGGAGGGAGTTCCTCTGGGGATCTCCAAGGAATGCTTCACAGCCACTCTGGAATCGCCTCTACCCTGGGAATGGTCAACTCATTTTGTACTTTTGTTTCTCCAGGGAGAAGTTGGCTGTGGCCCGACTACAGCGAGAAGTTGCCCAGAGAACAAGCCAGGGGGCCATGGTGAGTCCTGACTGGTCTGAACCTCTTGTTCAGAGGTCTCTGGCTTCAAGGTCATTTTGTCCTTTTAAAGATACTAAGCAAAATATTTGTTGCAGCAAACTTAATGACTCTTTGGTAAATTATACATTTATAGTGCAGTTTAGGCTGCTCTATCATTTGCAGAGAAAAAGAGATTAATTGACAGGAAAACTACTTGGGCTTTGAAAAAAATGTTCAAATATTCAAAGGCTTGTAATGCTTTATTTCGAAAAGCTCCACTGGCTGCCCAGGCTTCCAGCTGTGAGCACAAGGTCCATAAATGAGTAATCTTAGATTTTCAGATAAGGATGTTTAACATAATTCAACCCTCTTAGTTCTCTGACCTTAAACAAATAACTGAAAAAAGCACCAAGATGCTTGCTAATGTAATTGTCTTTTATTCTATTCCTTCTCTCCACTATTTGCAATACATTTCTCCCTGTCGTTTTCAGCTTGTGCCATTTAGAAAAGGGATGTTTCCTTGTGGTTTGAATTGTACTAAAAATCAATGTGGTTGTTTTGGTCCCTAGCAACTTCATTTTATAGACTGTCTTTGCCAAAGTATTTGCCCAGGTGACACTATAATATCCGAGACGACTGTCTCCAGTACCCAGGGAATGCATGTGTGTAGATTAACTGCTATTGCTACCTCTGAGAAGAAAATATGACACCAAACTTATTTTTCCCCACTTATGACAAAGCAGTGGTATGTGTGTAATTTTTCAGCTGAAGATTTTTTTTTTTTTTTTTTTTAAAGAGAACGGACACATTTTCAGCCCCTGAAAGGCTGTTTCCATTTGATTTGTAGGGGTAAATTGATAATGCATCCACTGAAAGAGTAAGAAGTTTGTGAAATATACTGTCCTCTCACTTCTCCCAAGATTGGAGTGAGAGGCTGAATGCTAAGTGGATTCTGTAAGGTATAGTGGCCTGAGAACTTGCCCAAATCTTAGGGAAGGTGATTACATTGCTTGTTTTGCTATTGATCATAATGCAAAAAGAATCTTGAATGTTCAGGCAATTTGAAGCAGCTACTCAAAACATCGTTGAGCAATGAAATGGAAAAATAAGTTGGAAAAAATAAAGATCTAGCTGAATGGTGAACTGAACATTTCCAATCTAGAGTTCTGTCTGCATTTAGAAATGTTGATAGGCAAGGCCGATCTGTTAATACTTTAGTCCTCTGGGATGAGCTCCTGCTTACCACTTCATCAGCTATGCTTGAATTGAATTGAGGAGGTGCCTTTCCTAGGTCTCGGTTTTCTCATCTTGAAAATGAGGAGGTTGAAATTTTATGATTCCCTTAGCTCAGTGGATCATGCTGCCAAACATTTGCCCATGTAAAGGTTTTATGATGCGCAGCTTTTTTTTTATGGTAATAACTAAATATTATTGAAGCTCAGAAAAGCAAAGACCTTGGAACAATGAAGTTTCACTCTTTCTGACTCTGATGTTGAATGTGCCTGATTTGAAATGATTGCAGATGGATAAATGTCTACTCTTGTACAAAAACAAAACCTTCTTTTAAAACACGATAGAAGTAATGGTTCAGTGTGAAAACAAAAGCAAAACCAGAAAATCTATATACAGATAGAAAGCAGCTGACTTTGTAGAAGTTACAAGTTACCCATGTTCTCTTACTGTATTTTAATGATGTTACTGAAAATGACAATTTTATACTGATATATTGGAAAAATAATTATTGAGCAGCTACTATATGCCTGGTACTATCAAAAACAGTAGTGATTAAAACAGGCAAAAATCTGGTTATTATAGTGCAGTGGTTGGGTAAACAGATATCCAATATGATTAAAATGTTAGCTGGTGGAAGGAGGTATGAGAAAATAAAACAGCAAAATGGGAGATCTGGGGGTCTAGGGGCTTACCATTTTAAGTAGAATATGCATAGTGATGAATCACTGAAAAGTTAATATTTGAGCAAATCTTGAAGAGGAAGTGGAGTTTTCCCCCAGGGATATCTGGAGGAGGGCAGGATATCCAGGCAGGCAGCTTAGTTAATACAAAGGTGGGCCAGAGCCCAGGGAACTGTGTGGGCAAGGTTGGCTGCAAGGGATTCCAAGAGAGGGGAAATTGGAGGAGAAAGTCAGAAGAGATGGGAGCAGAGGAGTCAGCCCCTCAGGTCCCCCTGAATCACTGGTGCATGCTTTCTGTGAAAGGAATCATTGGGAAACTAGGGACAAGGCAGTGACATGTTATGGATCAATGCCATTCATGTCCCTGTCATTTCCCATTCCATCATTAATTATACCTCAGTTCTTTTGAGACACCATCATCTCTAACTTTCATTACTTTTATTTTCTACTCCTCTCTCATTTTTCTTTTTTTCCTTATATAGACAATCATTTGAGTTTTGTAATTTAATTTTATGTTTCAGCTTTTCTGCTCCTGCAATTCTTGATTTCTAAAGTCTTCGTTCTTTAAGTATCTGAGAGCTCCTAAAACAAGGCAGTTCTGTTAAAATCCTTTAAATTTAATTCTTGCTGCTAGAAATTTTTCTGTGGAACTTCTGTTTCATCTTTAGCAGAAGTGGAGAGTTTGCCTCAACCAGATCACCTTATGCTTTCAAAAACCACTGTTCCCCATTTTCTGTTTTTCCACATGAAAGAAAAAATGGGATGGGAAAAAATATGTAAAAGGTTTACTTAAAAAGCCATATGAATGAATTGAGGCAGATATTTATTTTTAGAAGTCATCAATAAATTTGTTATAATCAAAGTCCTTAATGCAAAATGTGCTCTTTTTAAAATTTGCTTTTATGTAATAGATCTCATCACTTATATGTTTTCAGACTGTTCCAAGGCACCATTTTGAGAAATTAATGTTTTAATAATTTCTTTATTTAGAATAATTTTAGATTTACAGAGCATTGTGAACTTGCCTATTGTTTGCCTTAACATTAACACCATACATAACTGTGGGATAAATGTCAACATGGTGATGAATATTGGTATATTATTATTAAACAAAATCTCTATTAGAGTTTCACCAGTTTTCCTACCTTGTCAGGGTTTTTAGCCCCCCATTCCCTCCTGACCTGTGGGAAAGATTGGGGGAGCACGCTCTGACCAGGACAGGCCATGAAAGGTAAAGGTCGACTGGCTGCCTGCACTCAGTCCTCCCCCCCTGGAGGACAAGCAGAAGTGCCAGGGAGAACTGTCAAAGCAGGATCTCGTTTAATGAGAAAACATACACAGCTAATATAATGTACAGGAGCCAATCAGGATAAAGGTCAGCAGGGTGCAGAGAATTTACATCTACACCCATCCTACAGGCAGTAATGTCTGTGGGGGCAGAAGGGTTCTGAGCCTATCCTAGAGGTGGGCCGATTCTTCATCACAACCCATGGCAATGCCTTCTGGCTAATCGCTAGGTGCTCTCTTAGCCACACGTGGCCCCAGGACTGGGAAGCGGGTAGCAGCCAGCAAGTTAAGTTTCCTCTTTTCTGATGCAACATGCCCCACTTTACATCATGCCCTACACCACCTATGTCCCCTTTTCTGATCTGGGATACCACCCTGGATTACACATTGCATGTAGAAAGGATTGTTTTTAGTGGCTAGTTGAACACATATGTGGAATTAAAACCAGAGCTTGGGGTGAGGCAGGTCTGGATTCAGTGTATATCTCCACTGGTGGTTAATGATATTACCTTGGATACATTGCTACTTTTTATCAGTTCTGTTTGTGATTCTGTTCGACTATCTCAGATATTAATTTTAGGATACTTTCAGCATATTGAATGCTTTATTTATTTTTTTTCCTTCATTCTCACTTTCAAGAAATAACTCTCACCAGTATTTTTCATACTTTGGTTATTTTGCATTAACTCTCTAAGATCCTTCATCTTCCTTCTGTGAGATTATTCCATTTTGTGGTCCATTCCACGGGCTCAGTGTACTACAAGTTCTGTTCTGTCTTTAAACTTCCATGTCATCTTAACTTTTTTATGGATAAAAAAATATTCATTTCACCTGTTATGTTTGGATATGAGTTGTCCCCCCCAAACTCATGTGTGTGTGTGCAATTCAAGAAAGTGTAGAGGAAAAATGCACTAATCAGTGCATTAATCCCCTGATAGAGATTAACTGGGTGTAGGCATGTAGGGTGTGGCTGGAAGAAGTGGGTTCCTGAGGGTATACCTTTGGGGTTTACTTTTTGTCCCTGGTGAGCAAGTTTTCCCTTGTCTTCCTGATGCCAAATCTTGAGCTGATTTCCTCCACCACACCCTCCCACCATAATGTTCTGCCTGGCTGGAGCAATGGAATTGCCATCTATGGACCAAGAACTCTAAACTGTAAACCAAACAAACTTTTCCTCCTCTCCTTGTTCTTGACAGACATTTTGGTCACATCAATGAAAAAGCTGATTAAAACACCACCCCAAGCGTATCAATTCATTCATTCTCACTATCTTTTATATTATATTTTTTATATTTTATATTATATTTTTATATCTTTTATGTTTATAATTTTGGGGTTTTTTTCTATGTAAATCTTCACAAATTCTAGGTAGTAATGCTTGGCATGATGTAAGGATCGGAAAGATTTTTTTTTTTTTTTACCAAACTGATAATTAATTTTCTAGCATCATTACTGAACAATGTAACCTTTACTATCTTTAACCTTATCTAGTATTCCCAAAGTTAATATTAACCGAGGTCAGCAATGGGAATGCTGATATTTTTCCATTTAAAGTACTGTTATACAAACTGGTCTCCAAAAAATAAATAAATAAAAGAATATCCCCTACTCACTTTTTAAAAATAAACTCATTACAGAAAAAAACTTCAGGTTATATAAAACATTCCCATGTACCCCATATCCTGTTTCCCCTATTAAGATCTTACATTAGTACACTAGTACGTTTGTCATGATTAATGAGCCAATGTGATATGTTGTGTTAATAAACTACATATTTCACCAGATTTCCATCATTCTAATGTCCTTTTTTTGTTGTTGTTG